CATTTAAGCTTTTTCGAGATGTGTGTTCTAGGAAAGTCACACAAGTTAGCTTTGGGAGAGGTGAACACAACATTAAGAGACCATTGAACTACATTCATGCAGATTTGTGTGGTCCAAAAAAAAAAATCCACACATACAGGGAACGGATTTTTTTCAGTCCATTGTTGATGACAATCAAGGAAAGTTTGGGCATATCTTCTTAAATCCAAATCTGAAATTTTAAATAATTTTAAGCTCTGGTTTACCTTAGTTGAAAGTTAAATGGAATCTCTCGGGACGGACTATGGTTTAGAGTTGTCTAATGGTTTTTGGGGAGAAGTTGTTTGTACTGCTACCGATTTGATAAATAGGTTACTTTCTAGTTATGTTAAATTTCAAGACTCCCAAAGAGTTGTTGTTTGAAAAAATTCAAGATTTGATACACATTAGAGTATTTGGTTGTGTGGCTTATGCACATCAGGTTGGAGTAAATTAGACCCTGGGGTTACTAAGCTATTATGTTAGGTTATCCAGAGGGAGTTAAAGCATATAAAATGTGGGTTCTAGGTGTAAATGACATTAAGATTATTAACAATAGAGATGTGAAGTTTAATGAACATGATGCCTGCTTTACAAACATAGACAATCGGAACAAAAAGATCGAGGAAGGAAAATTTTCTACCAAAAAGAAGATGGAGTTTGAGGTGAAGAGATTAGATGATAATACAGATGAAATCCAACTTCAAGAAGAATCTGATCAAGAATCAGTGCTCTTTAACACAAGATTTTGAGTCTCGCGTGTAGAACAACCTGAACTTGAAATTCCTGAAACTTTTGTCTCTAATCAAGAAACAACTTCACGTACTAATCTGGATGATTACCAATTACTGAGGGATCGGGAGAGAAGACAAGTGAGACTCAATTTGAAATATGTTTCTTCAAATTTGATAGAATTTGTCTTAGTTTTAGGTGAAGCTTTAGAATTAATTTAACTAGCATCATTTGAGGAAGCGGTTAACTGTAAAATTCTAAAAATTGGAAAAATGCTATGAGAGAGGAGATCTAATCTCTGAACAAAAATGAGACTTTGAAGTTTGTTGAAAAACCAAAGAATCAAAAGGCAATCCATTGTAAATGGATCTACAAGTTTAAAAAAATGAGTAGGACCTAAAGACCATTTAACATATAAAACTACATTAGTTGAGAAAGGATTACTTAGATAGAGATGAAAGAATATAATGAGGTTTTATTACCTGATTATGAAGTATAAAACTATCATGTTGGTCTTAACCTTAGTTGTCCAGTATGATTGAGAGTTGGAGCAACTAGACGTTAAGATGGCCTTTCTTATGGGGAGCTTGATGGATTGATTTACATGTCTGAACCTCAAGGGTTCGAGGTGAGGGAAAAATCTGAAATTGTGTGCTTACTTAAAAAGTACTTGTATGGTCTTAACAAAGTCCTAGGCAATGATATAAAAGATTTAATACTTATGTGTCTAAAATTGATTTTAAGATGGGTGAATTTGATGCATGTCTATATTTTAATAACTTTAAGTAGGCTATGAAGTTTTTTTTATTGTTATATGTGGATAATATGTTGCTTGCTAGCTCTACTAAAGCTGAAATCATAAAGATGAAAACATTTTAAAATCAAAATTTAACATGAAAGACTTAGGAGAGCAATAAAAATTCTTGACATGATTATTAAAAGGAATAGAGTTGATAATAGGATGACTATTAATTAAGAGTCTTATGTAGATAAAGTGATAACTATATTTGGTATGATATTTGCTAAGTTTGTTAATCTACCATTAGCTACATACATGAATTTGTCACCTACAATATGTCCTAAAACTGAAGAAGAAATGCATGAAATGAGTATTGTTCCTTATGTAAGGCCATTGGGTATGTGAAGTATTCTATGATTACCACGAGACCGGACCTTGCATATGTAGTTAGTTTCTCGAGTAAGTTTATGTCTAATCTAGATAAGCCTCATTGGAATTCACTTAAATGACTGTTAAGATACCTAGTTGGAACTTTAAAAAGGGGATTGGATTTTAAAAATGAAAGTGAAAAATTAGAATTTAAAGGATATGTAGATTCTAACTTTGCAGGGGATAAAGATCCGAGGAAATCTACCCCTTCTTATTTCTTCACTTTAGGTGATAATTGGACCATTTGAAAATCACACCTGCAATCTATAGTTACACTCTCCAACACGGAAGCAGAAATATGTTGTATTAACTGAAGCTGTTGTTGAAAGACTTTCTATGTGAATTAAATTTCTTGAATGATAATGTTATGATTTTTATTGATAGTCAAAGTTCATTGATGTTGTGCAAAAGTCATGTTTATTATGAACGTTCTAATCATATTGAGGTGAAGTATCACTTCACTATGGAGAAGTTAGCTTTTGGTGATTTTATTTTGCTTAAAATTGTAACTGATGATAACTCTGCAAATGTTGGAACAAAAGTACTTTTGGTTGGTAAATTCATCAAACGTTTATCAATATTGAGTATTGATAAACGTTAAATGTTGTGCTGGTACCAAGCTGGAGTGAGTGATCATGAACAAGACAATACTAATGGATACCACTTGTAATCAGAGAATTTGGTAGTGGATTATATTTTATCCAATGTGAACATTTGTGTGGTAGATCACTTAGATCCACTTGGTACATGATTATTGGCCTTGAGTGTTTGGAAAGGATTGTGTGCTAGTTTGGTATAATTGTGGACTATAGATTAAATCCGACTGGATTTAATTTTGTGGTCACTTTCTAGATCTAGTCATATCACTTGTCATCGATTTTGAATTTTGAATTCAAATGGTTTGGGCTCTATAATTATATGTGTATTCACTTATTTTCATTTCGATTTGGCAAAACTAGAAGAAAGTATAGAGAGAGAACCAGGCGAGAAAGGTTCATATCTTTGACAATATTCTTGTTGGCCTTTGGCGGATTCTTTTCTCGGTATATTCATTGCTATTTTCATGGACGATGGTGCATGATCCAATGTGGCATTTGAGCTCAACATTACAAAACACATTGGCGGTGTGGTTGAAGAAGATTTTAGTCGATTGGTTCGGGTTTTGTATACTCTGATAATTTATTTTCCGTATTGTAGTTGTAACAATTATACACTACATTATGAATTCTACAAAATTCGAATACAATATCTTTTTTGACTCAAATTCATGAATCATAATGTGCATGACATTTCTCATTTTAATTGTATCTTTAAGAAAATTTTTAATAGAGAATTCAAGTGTCATAAACATGGAAGATCTCCTCACAATGCATTTGTTCATCCGTAATAAGAATTTTGTATTAAAAATTAGTTAATAATTGTCTTTTCAAATAATATTCAAGATATGCATACACATTTATTTGAGTGGTCTTTGCTTTGATAAAATTTTAATTTTTAAGCCAAAATCCAAACACCATCGAAATTGAAGATTCGAAGATCTAAAAAGACCATAAATAAAATATAATTGGCTCAAACTCCCCTAATGTTTACCCGTTTTGTGAAGTTTTTCATAACCTTTCATTTCGAGACAAAATCCCCTAAATCATCGACCTTGTGGAATACAACGTTTTCTTCCTCTTTTCCTTTATTTATTTATTTATTATTATTTTTTAAATAAAGAATTTTTGGAATAAAATAAAGAATTAATTACATCCATAACTTCAATTTTTTTAGTGCAAACAAATGCTAATTAAATTTAAAAATAAAAAAATTTCTTTCTTCAGCAGCAGCAGCACCACCATACTATCAACCTGCCACACCACACCACACCACCCCAACCTTGACACCAAGGGCGGAGCCCAATTAGGTCCAGTGCAGGCAAATGCCCGCACTGAACCTTTGGGCCACCAATCACACAAGCCTAGAATTTTTTTTTTTTTTTTAACTCTCCAAATGTCTTGGTCGAGCAAGAAGCGAAGCCCATTAATTTACCCAATACATAAACCATTTGAAGTTTAACATTCAATCCATTCGATTTCATCCATCCACAGATCCACTCCGCCTCCTCGTTCGCCGCCTACTCCCAGTCCCGGTGTTGTCTCCGTCTCCTCCTCCCCTACTTTTTCGTCCTTGTTTGCTGACCTTGCCGCTGATGACCTGGTGAGAGAACTGGTAGATTTGCTGTAACGTATTCTCAATCTGCAGCTTCAAGAAAGCTTTCGGAGCCAGTTTGGGGTTGTTTGATAGATTTTGCTACGACCAGAATCTGGTAGACTTTTGAAATGGGGAGGGTGAAAGGGTTGTTTGGTGGGTTTTTCGGGTGAGATTTTCGGCATTCATCTTCAAGGAAGAGAGATCCTAAGATTGAAGAAGCTGTGAGAATTAGAGCGAAGAGAACGAGGAAAGTTGGTGTTGAAATTTTGTGTCTATGGGCTAGTGAAAATTGGGAAAGCTTTTGAATTTGGGAGAATTACAATTTAGCCCTGGTGTGTATCATTGTGTTAAACTTTTACAATTAGCCCTGGTGTGTATCATTGTCCTCAAAACCTGTAGTACATTATATTGTCTTGTTTAAAAAATGTAAAGCTTGTTAGGAGAATTGCAATTTTGTACTCAAAGAAATCCACATTTGTATATTATTTTTTCAATTAATGTTGGTTACTTCATTTTCTGTGTGTGGAAATTGTTAGTTACAGGAAGTTTTGATGCAACTACTGCTATTTGGGAACCTGGTGGTGAATGTGGTGATTATGAATGTGTTTCCACTCTAGAGGTATAATGTCATTTTCAAATTCCATATCAAACTGTTAAAGGGAGAGGGCAAATTCTCCCTTTTCTCTCTTTATTTATTTAAAGGGAGAGGGAAAATTCATCATTTTATAAGGCTTATGGAGAAAATTGACGAAAATATTGTATTCGCGTGGTTGACATGATTTAGGAGGATTTTGCATTAAAACGAAAGGTTATGAAGTTTCCAACAAGACAAATAAACGTTAGGGCTATTGTGCAATTACCCATAACTATATAATTATTCCATGTTTGATGTTTGGGAATAACTGCTAATTCCAGCAAGAGTCGAAGTCCTTTCCTGTGAAAAGATTCCTCCGCAACAACTCTCTACCCAATTAATTCAGGAAAATTACCTCAAATAATTGGACACATCCTCCGAAAAGATGAGAGGCTGGGGCAGGAATGAATCAAATTACAGAAATCCATGTCTAACAATGCATCAGCCATGGGCTTCTTTACTGGTTCATGGCATCAAGCGCATTGAAGGAAGATCCTGGCCCGCCCCTATCAGAGGTACTTTTATACTTGATAATTTCTGAAACCCATAAATTTTTTCTTGTTTTTGCTCTGTTCTTTTATCTTTTTGGATGAAATCTAATTTGTCTGTGAGAACGGTGCTAAACCCTAGGGGTCGTTGACCGAATCTTTTTTCAGAGGCAATAATTTTTATTTTTTTATACTTCATCTTGTAATCTTTGTTCGAGGAGTAAATGATTTACTTGATAATCAATTTATAAATCCATTTTTCGTTGGTGACAGGTTTGAGTTTAGTGAGTATTAATGAAACATGTCTTGGAGCACTATGACTAGGGGAATTTCCTGGTCTATACTATGTTTTACTTTCATAGATCATTGAATGGTGGAATAGCAACTGTTTGGATAAATTCCTCCCTTTGCCGCTAGGTAATAGCAGCCGTAAAACGAATTGGTTACTAACCAATCACGGAAGTTGATTAATAACTGTTTGCAATCCCCAATACTATATTATGGTCAATAAGTCATTTTTATGTTTTTTCTATTGCTATTTATCAATCAAGGATAAGTTTTTTGCATAAAGTATATACATAGGAGTGTCAACACCCCTGGGTGGGGCCCACCTCATGTGAGTCCCACTCCTTGTGAGGGGTGTGGACATGAGGTGGGCCCCACCCCATGTGAAGGGGTGTGGACACTCTTATGTACCCAAATTATGTACACCAAGCACTGTGGACATGAGGTGGGCCCCACCCCATGTGAAGGGGTGTGGACACTCTTATGTACCCAAACTATGTACACCAAGCACAACACATCAAACAAATCCTGTTTATGAACCTTCTGTTTCTAATCAATGAAATGGTCTGGTTCTAAAATCAGTCTTACTTGGACTATGTGGAAAGTAGATAGCTTTTCCCACTTTTATAACTGGTTCATCTTAAGTATTCAACTAATTACTTAGAGATTTTGATGTAAATCTAAATTAAGTCTAAACGACTTTTCAATGTATCAATGTGATTGTAGTAAAATAAAACTTTTCCAGTTTTAAGTTAAATCACGATTCAAAACTAACTTCAGAAAAGTATGTTTAATTATATTAACATATTATATAGTTGATCAACATGGCTCATGCTTTATTTGACTTTACTTCTTTATGGTTTTGTTATGATATGTTTGATAGATTGATTCATTAATTAAATGAATATTGCGATCATGTACTTGGAGATATGGTGATTGTATTATCCAGTAATTGGTTAATTGGTTATGTTATATTATTAAAATTATGGATCTCTGAGTAGCTATTGTGATATCTGAGGTAGTACCCTGATCGGTAGAACTAAGTACTATATCTACAATCATGCCCTTGTTTGATCAGATATCATTTTACTTTCACTGGTAGAGAGTTTGAGCCTAATATTGGAAAATGTTCTCTATCTTCTATTCATAGCCATATGTCATGGACTATATGCTTTGTGTTAAATATGTTAATTTGTACTTTGAATTAATTTTTACTTTGAATCCTTTTAATTCCACGTCCCTTTTTGGCACATGTTTATAATCTGTTTATAATCGATCAAATTACTTTTTATCCACACATTTCATGAACCCACAACTACTGCCCATTTATTCACCAATCAAATTTATATATTTATAGTTTAAACCAATTATAAACAACGCTTAAACATGTTCTGGACATTGTGATATCTGTGTTAAAATCATATCAGGATGTTCATTGGCTCTTCTAGTCGTCATGGACTCCAGTTGTTTATACATTCACTTTATTTGATTATTTAATGTATTAACTTCATTGGGCCCGTTTCCCTGTTTGCTTTTGTTAAAAGTTTCAAAATTTTATCAAATGAAAATCACACACGAGGTGAACATTGTCGATCAATAGTAGATACTTACCCAACTCAATGTGAAAATTCTTCCATTTGTCGGGAGTAGTTGGTATGGACTGGAATACCAAATAAATAAATTACTACAAGAGGTCAGAATCTCTGAAACTAGTTCAGTAATCCGTTGGCTGCCCTCCTGTTGCTTTCTTTTAATGTTGCCATGCAATGAAATTTGCTGCAAAATGTGATATTTTCTGGGATTATCTTCCATCCAAGAGAACTTTTCTGGTTAACTAGATGGGTCCAGTGAATGCCTTCATCGATGTTCTCTGAACTGTTTTTTGTCAGACTATCCTACGGTGGAGTTTTATTAATGCTAAAAATATAAAATCATTTGAAGGTTCAATGCTTTGCCTTCAAATTTGGAGAAAGTTTTTATGGCTACATTCATTCATGTCTGATTGGTGGTTTGCATATCAGCCACTACTGCAATTAATATCGTTGCCAAGGCATTTGGCTTCACATATTTAAAATGTGCATTGGGTGCATTACAGTCTTCTTTTGTTTGCTCATGTCTGATCATGCATGTCCCGTTGCACACTCGCAATTTAAGAACAGGTTTATTTATATTTGATTTTTCTTCTACTTTTTATTTATGCTATGTTAACATGGATTAACTAGGTTGTAAACAAATGTTGTGAATGGATTTTCCAGTAGATGTAGTTCTAGATCAAATGAAGTGGCAAAAAGTGATTTGATACATAGTAGATGCCTAATTAATTGGGAATAATGCTTTTATTTGATTTTTTAATATTATGTAGGTCGACTCTGGATTCATGCTGCTAGTAAGGTCCCAGAACCAGACACAATCAAGGCGATGGAGGACTTCTATAGAGAAATCTACACAGTGAATGGAGTAACACATATGGAGTTTCCTGAGCACTACCCAGTGTCCAGACTTCTAGGTATAAAAGTTAACTTTTACTCTGTGATTAATGATCAAATCCTTCTCCCCTGCCCCTTTATAGATCATGTGCATATGTGAGTTAAGAAGAGAAGCCGAAGAGGTGAACTTCTGTTGTGAAATGTCAATTTTACTTGTTAATTTGAAAGTATTTTGTTGACCCCTATTTGACAACAATTAATAAGAGAATTTTTATATATTTGTATATATATTTTGGGGGGCGGTGGGCCGGGGGGTGGAATGAGTTCTTGAGTAGTGATTTTTAGAGAATGTGTGGTTAAAGCAGAAAAAAGTTTTGGGTTTACATGCAAAATATTTTATTGTGGGAATGTGTTTGACAAGGAGTTTTAAAAAAAAAAAAAAAGAGAAAAAAAATGAGTTTTGTTTTAATAGTTATCAAACAGGGGCATGGTTGGGTTGGATTTTTCACTGTCAAAATCGGAATATTTTTTTGATGGATGTGTTGTGATTGTTATTGGTCACCCTTTATCATGTGCAGGCAGAACTTTCGAGCCACGTCATGATCTTTTTCTCATTTCAAATGACCTAATGCATAATTATCCGTGATATTATGAATGTGTATCATATTTTGGTCCCCTTATTTAGAGAAATGTATATTCTGTCTTGTTCACATTTGAAATAATACTTAATTCGTTATTTTCATTTTTTCTGCGTGCGTTTGGAAGTATTTACATTGTGGACACTTTGCAATTCGGATTAAATGACTTTACTAAGTCTGCTATAAAATATTTCATCTGACATTTATTAATTTTTTCTGTGACATCAATCTTCACAGGTTGCGTTGAAATAGTTGGTTGTGTTACATGTGAAGAGCTAGTAAGCTGGGATGCCATTCCTGAAGGGGTTAACTCCTAAAATCTCAAGCATCTTGTACTTTTAAGCTATATGACGTGGATACTGCTGTAATTTGTTCACGTTGATTTGCATATTTTCTACTCACATAATTCAAGTTCTTTTGCTTACAGGTGAGACTAGAAGGGCAAACAGCTTTTGTTTGGCTTTGTGAGCAACCACAGGTTTTACCATCCTCATATATATGATTACGACTATTGTTTGGTTCTATTACATCATGTAATCTGGGCCCGATATAAATATCTCGGTTTTACATCCAAGAAAAATAATTATCCTTTTTTACTTGATGCAGAAACTTATAGTACCATTTGAGATGCGAGGATACCAAGGAGTTTATAATTTGGAAAGGAAGGTATGAGGGGAAACCAATGTCATGTATTCTATTGGAGGCTGGAATTTATTTCTTAGTTATCAGGAAAACCTAACGTTGATTTGCTCTTGTTGTGTAGATATATGAATCAGCAGTTAGAGGTCTCACTTCTATTAGCTCTCCATTACCGGTTAAATTTCCTCTTCCGAATCCACGAGATCATTTTTCCTTGAAACCTGGATCACTTGCTTCTTATTCCAGTGGCTCAAGCTCATCGAAAATGGGAAAATCACCTGCATTGCAAGCAGCTATAGATGGTGCTCGAGCAGCTGCAACACAATTTACTAAGAATAACAGTTCTGAGCCTGCTGCACTTACCATTGAAGGCAGTGGTAAGGCTGTATCCTCCCGAGCAAAGTAGGAGTCCAATGAGAAGGTTCGAAGGCACATTAATTAATTGCCTGAGTTATGATGCAACCAGTGGCACGCAAAGTAGAATTTTAGTTTTTATTCGATAAATAGTAAGCTATAAAAGCTGTGTGGATGTGATATATCATCTTGGGTTTCCACCTCAAGCGTGATCCTAATGGTAGTTTACATATGTTATATATCTGTTTGAGCCACATTATTATAAAAATGATAATGAAAAATATAACCGTTTTGGGCTCCACACAAGAGATAAAAAATCAAATATAGTGTCTCGATGTGATGGATAATGGTCATATTTTTCATTTTAATGAGGAAATAATGAGATTCAAACACGGCCGTTTGTTCATTGTGACAAGATTTCGTGTATGTATAATGTGCATTTTATCAGCAGAAGTGAACCATTAATTCTTTTCTTGATAAAAGAATTATAAACGATGTCAACCAAATATTCTGACTTTGAGCTATTACCATTTGATTTGGTCGAGCTTAAAAGCACCACGAAGTCGCAAGAGCATGATGTGCTGCACAAGACACATCTTATGGTGTTGAGAAATTAAGAAGACTCTTATCATGTTATCGAGATATCAAGAAAATTGGATACTATACATCAATATTAATTTAATAAAAATTTCATAGTTAAGAAAATTGTATGGCAGCATGGACAGGAAAAATCTGAAGTCTTGAGTCATGCATTTGGGATATTTATTAATGAGAGAAGCTGTTTAAGGGCTAGAATACTTTGAATCTCAAAGTAGTAGTCATCCTCTCGTTATTATTGGTATTAGATTTTATCTTGTTCTTACTACCTCTAGTGTTGGTTGTCCAGTGTAAAAGATATTGGGAAGAACACCTTGATAATCATATTGTTGAATCTTCTAGTGCGTTCGTATTAACTCCTTCAACCTCTCTTCGAAATCTATTGCATCTAAAATGGATTCTCTTTATGAAATCTCCTACCTTCCTACGTTTGAAAAAATTCCAGTTGCAAATCTACCTCTTGTAAATCCATATATTCCTTATAACAAACAACATCACTCTTTCACTAAAATGGTCCTAAGGTTTATTTCAGCTTCAAAATCTCAAATTAAATAATATGTTCAGGCATCAAAGTTTGATTAACATCTCTTATCCGCCCTAGAAAATGAGCATTTTGTTGCTCTGGATTTGCCATATCATTCAAAAGACGTTGCAAGAGGAGTATTCATGCTGAAATGTTGTTCCTATAACCTTGAGGATTTGGATAAACACTTTTACAATGCTACCAAATGTTATTATCTCATTGGAGGAATGGATCATACCAACATAAAGCAAGCCTATTTAGAGTCCATACCGTAGCCTCTTGGCGATGAGACACTCGGGATGTTGAAATAAAAGGACAGTCATTGGGGACTACTTCATTTGCTGAACTTTACAATTGGGTCAAGAAAACTATAATAAATCTCTGTAATCGAATTATTTATTTATTTATTTTTTATTTTTAACGCCACAGGCCAAAAGCTTGTGACCAACTATATTTGAAAATCAAGTTCTGGCATGATAACTAGAGTTGTAATTATCTAGGAAAAAAGATAATACAGGCAGAGGTTTGAGTTTCACAACATAAAGTTCTCCAAAACTTTTTCCAGGTGGTATTTGAAGAAAAAATTCATAAAGAAAAGCGGAGACAGATGTTTTATCTATTGAGAAAAGGATGGTCACTTTGCAAAAAATTGTACCAACCAAAAGAAAGGAAAGATTCTTCACCAAATCTTTGCAGCAACAAAAATAGACCTTGATGAAACAGTTCTTGAATCAGTATTTTTTGAGGAAGAAAGATGTCTCTTGAGTCTGTCTTTGTTCTGGAACTTGATTATGATAATGATGGCACTAATGATTATGTCAGGATACAAGAATGTTATAGAATGCAGGTCATTAATCCCGGTCTTCCCACTTCGATGATTGAAGTCAAAATACTTTTAGGAAAATATGAAAGAACAATAACTGTTGCATGATAATTTGATACAGGATCAGCACATTCTATAATAGATATTGCCATTCTCCCTAGAAATATGTGGAAAGACTATCAACTGATCTTTCAAGCAGCTAACAATGAATAGTTTACAATAGAACTTATCAACAAGCCAGTAATACTCCATTTTTTCCGTGATTGCAATATATTTCTCAAGTTACTAGTCTCATCCTTACCTGGTAAAGATATTGTAATTGATTCAATATCATTTAGCAGTTATAGTAAAAATGAGTTGTTCCTCTTCAAGATGGCCGTAGATACAAATCTTACTTCTTACCTCACATACGGTCAACCACATATTTTTCCGTAACCAATCTTGACAACATAACAAACTTGTTAATTGTGTACAGATTCTCACACAGAGTTTCTCACTGAATGCACTTACCTTTTGTTAAAAAACCTAGATTTCTTACTCTCCTTATCTTTCAAAAGAAATGAAGATATCAACCTTATAAAAGCTAGTCATATTAGAATGAGCCTTAAAACATCTCCAGTTAGCAACTAAATAGTTAGCCCAGTTACAAACTGAAGGTCTCATTGAGCCCATACTTCTCAGTAGGCATGTCAAGCCTTTTATGTCAATAAAAGGAGTGGTCACATTTGTGAGAAAATGAGACTTGTTATTGATTATAAGTTGCTAAACCATTTCCGTCCTGTTTTATCAATATTAGGAGCTCCCTTCCTTCAATGTGGATCATCTCGAAACCAGTCTTGTTACTAAATAAAGAAGTTTGTTTACTACCTCCACGAGTTTTTAGGGAGGCTCGCACGATGGGCTATTGGCTCGGGGGTAAAGCGTGTCCCTGACAATTGTGTCATCGTGCTTGGGCAGCTTTTCCTTGTTCTTCTTTAGTTTTTTGATGACTTTACTAATATTAAGGTGAGTAGTTTGAACAAGATCATAGTATCTTAAGAATGCTCTGCATTTGCCTCTCTAAGGATCCTCTACATCAAAAAATGGTAATACAGCAGAGGTATTATGATCTTTGTGTTACCGAAAGTTAGGCCTTGTGTTGATGCCCGTGAGAGGTTGTTTGAGGGCTAGAATACTGTGTATCTCAAAGTAGTCGTCATCCTCCCGCTATCTAGTCTCAAGTCTGGTGCATTTGGGGCATTTAAAATCACAACACGAAATTGTTCAAGATTTTCATTTTGGATACAATTTTAACGTTATTACATAGCTAAATTGGTGTTAAGTGTTCCATGTTTGGTAGTATTTTTAAATGTTTATGATTTGTGAATCCTATAAAATATGTGGATAATCAGCGGATAGTAAATTGTGGATTCAATGAAATGGGAGAATGAAAAATATGTTTGACCATATTAAATTAAAATTTAAGATTTTCCAAACACGTTATTAACTGGGACCTGTAATTCTACATTTAAAATGATGTGTTTATCAGTTCTTAGCTCAATTTGTAGAACATTGCCTTGTGCAATTTTGGTAGAATATCAAAAATGTAGTCCACTGATAATATGCACTTATTTGGGATTTTAATATGCTTATATTTAGCTAAAATAAGTCGATATCTACCTAATTTAGCGTAAATATAATTAAGTATAGGTAACATTCATAATTAGATGTAATTGGCATGAAAAAGGGTATTTTGGAGTTTATCTTTATTTCTAAATAAGAATTGTCAACTAACGAAATAAATATTGAAACAGATGAATTTAGGGGATTTGAAGTCTTAATCTTTGTCAATTACTTGAGTTTCATAATGCTTCCCATTAATTATTTAAATTAGTTAATTTGGGCGTAAATTTTAAGTTGTTAATATAGACCTCTTCCAAAAATTGCTATTCTATTAAAGTTAGATTTAATGGAAAATTAGATTAAATACTTAGTAATCGTTAGAATGAAACTGTACTCACACTTATTACTGATTAGGATACCATACACTTGCAAGATTTTGACGAACAAGCTTTGACATCGTTTTGAGGACTATTGTTGTAATTTGAATCTTTCATATTTTTTCGTATTCTTTTCTCATTTAGTTGAGCCACTTGTTTTTCTTGATTTCATTGACAAGGAATTGAAAGAACTGAGAGGCCAGCGACAAATGGAAATGTGTGATCCTGAATTTGATGAAAATTACACTATGGGATATCTCATTCCCCTTTGTCACTTTAAAACAAATAAGTCTAATGAATATGTCGATATTGATGAGGATGAATTACCATTGTGAGTATTAAAGAGATTACAACCTTTCAAGTACAATGTGTGAATGATGTTGAGGAGGATGACATACCCTTGGATGTATTATGGGGATTACTAGGCTTCCAACTACAAGGTGCGGAAAAATTGATGAGGTAACATGTCCTTAGGAGTACGATGAGGATTGCCAGGCTTTACTGTACATGATAAACAAAGAAAATCTTCCAGGATGATCCATATTTGAGAATTGATGAAGATGACATGATTATGAGAGAGTGCTTCGTCATGCATCAGAGAGAAGTCAAAATAAGTTCAGATAATCCACATAACATGACTATGGGGAAATTTTTTGCCATGCAAAGGATTGAAGTGCAATGGATAAACACACTGGAAGAAGCGTTAATCAGACACTATATCTCATTACATGTAGAGGACTGAGACAACCTTCCAGAGTCAACATGAGTCTATCAAAAACTTGGAAAATCAGTTTAGTTGGCTAAAGTAATCTTCATATGGCAATCCCAACCAAAAAAGAAAAAAAGAAAAAGGAAAAAAAAAAAAAAAAGAAGACGAGAAGCATGCAGATACCTAGGAATTAATCACGATGAAGCCAAATGAATCAATGGGGTCAATGAAGAAGGAATTAGCATGCAATCCTCCAACTTTATTCTATAGTCAATAATTAAAGTTGTGATTAAAATCGATAAAGAATTTGAGGTATTCTTATTCATGTTCAAATAGAGTGATGTGGACAAGTCATATAATGTGAAAAAAGGCAAAGTAAAAGCTTGAAGAAAATATGAAGTTTGATGTAAGTCAACCTATGCAAACTAAGAAAGAATTGGAAAACTATATTCAAAGTGCCATGAGACATTTGTTACAAAAAATTGAGTTAGGATTATAAACAAGCGCTTATTGAGAGATAACCCAATTTTCAACTGTTTTATTTATTTTGCTTTTATGCATTACATTGCACGTCGCGAGTTAGGATCGCATTTAGTACTTGGACGCGCTAAATTATTGTCTAGATTAATAATATTCTTTATTTAGAGTAGTATTCTTGGCACCAAGATCATGCAAAAAGGTAATCCCACACACCACATAATTGGCACAAGATTAGCATTAACTCCCGTATGAATATATTGGCAATTGGTTTTCCTTTATCTTTTGCAAAGGAGAC